CCCACTTCCCATATAACGGTAATTTTCAGAAATACGAATACTGCGATATTTTAGTAACTACTGAAGATTATTCACTCAAAATTTATATTTACAATAAGTTTTAGACGAAAAATAAGAATATTATAAATTTTTGGAAAATGGGCGTAGCCACGCCCAGTTATGTTTACATGTGTATATCTTGGTAACCGCTGCACCAATTTCTTCCAAACTTGGCACAGTTGTTAACCTTGGTATAACATACGAAATGGCCGAAAATTTTTAAAATAGGACAATAATCCCATATAACGGTAATTTAGAGAAATACGAAATCTTCGATAAATCAGTAATTATTGAAGCTAATTTATTCAAAATTGATGCTTGCAACAATTCGTTACCAAGAAATACGTTTAGGATACAATTTTGAAAAATGGGCGTGGCACCGCCCACTTATAATCACATATATGTATCTCGGTAACCGTTCTACCAATTTGTACCAAACTCGGTGTGGTTATTGCACTTGCCACATAGTGGCAAAACGTTGAAACTTATTGAAATCGAACTAAAATTACGGCCGCTTTTCATATAACAGTAAATTTCAGATATGCTTGAAACTTCAATATTTCGAAATTTAAGGACGCTAATTTACTCAAAATGGATACACCTCGGTTTACCATGTAGCGGTAGCTTTCGGAAAGGTGAAAAACATATATTTAATACTTGCGCCGGGTATTTAATGTTCGGCTCCGCCCGAACTTAGACTTTTTTACTTGTTTATTGGAAAGATGGTACCTCAAGGGTCGTCCCGTAATTTGGTTTAGAGATCCGATGATTGGATCATGAAGAAATTAACGGTACCCCTAAATTTGTATATGAGAATTGAAGTCGGTTGTGTTCTTTCCTTAAAAACTACTTGTTTAATAAAAAGTTCTATAAACTCAAGATGCGCTCAACTTTCAAAAGTACCTAATAAAAAATTTTAAAAAAGAGTCAGTAAAAATAAATTTATTGATTCCATGAATTTTTGCACTTTTATGTTCATTTTTTCGATTTCTGGTTTCTGGTTTTCGATAGATGGTGATTTTTCACGATTGCTAAATTTTTTTAATATTTCGAGTTCCGAAAAAATTAACTGAACTCTCAAGAAAAACGAAAAATTCATATAAAACGACGGACGAGAACTGGAAAAGAAATTTTCTTCTACCAAATTTTCATAAATCAGTTTGCAGCTCTCAAGAAAAAAATGCTCGTATATTTATTTCCTCATGAAAATTTACAGCAAAAGCAAAGCGCTTTTTCAAGCAACAGAAATTATAATAAATATTTCTTATAATTTCCCTGAGAGCTGGATTCTTAGCTTTAAGATACAGTTTGTATTTGAAGTTATTAGCTTTAGGGGGGGTTTGAACCCCAAAACCCACCCCTTGTGTGCGCTAATGCTAATAACAATAATTATAATCTTTTTTATTATGTGCTTTTTATAAGCGTAAAACACAAAATAATTACTATAACTGGTGTTTGGTTTCAAACTCGGACAAACTAGACAAATTAATCAGATTTTATTTTTAATTGAATTAACGATTAATGTTTTAATTTAATTAAACGTAATCGCAGCCAGCGATTAACGATTAAAAAAACGTTTTCATTAATCGTACAGTTGATTACGACTAATTAATTTTAAACGTCAAACGCGATTAACATTTTAATCGTTAATTTTTAATCGTTAATCAGATTAACAGTTTGCCAACACTGTGTGAAATCATGTTCATATTGACGGAGAAAAATGGACGTTTTTGGAAAAGAGGCGTAGCACCTCCCATACTGACTGAAAGCTTCATATTGCATATCTCTTCAAATGTTTGGGGTAAAGCACTCAAGCTTGGTATGGAAATACATATGTATGTATGTATGTGAAACTAATACCATACTCATGGAGAAAAATGAGAGTTATTGGAAAAGGTGGTGTGGCAACTCCCATGCAAATTGGTTTTTCTATGCTGCATATCTCTGGAGGTGTTTATTGCAGGGGACTGGAACTTGGCACCGAGATGTGTATACAAAATTAATTCCATACTCATGGAGAAAAATTTGCGTTATTCGAAAAGGGGCATGGTACCTCCCGTACAAATTTACTTCTTATACTGCATATCTCCAGAGGTGTTCATGGTAGAGTACTGGGACTTGGTACTGGGGTATGTAAAATCAATTCTAAATTCATGGAAGAAGATTAGGGTTATAAGAAAAAGGGGCGTGGCACTTCCTACACAAATTGACTTTTTCTTGCCACATATCCCTGGAAGTGTTTGTGGAAGAATACTGGAACTTGGTATGGAGTTGTGTATACAAAATGTATCAATTGCTCATGGAAAAAATGTGAGTTATTAAAAAAGAAGGCATGTCTCCTCCCATACATACTAAAAACTTCTTAATACATATCTCTGGAAGGATAGAAAATCTCTCGAAGTATTATAAATTTGTTATGGAGATTTATTTTATAAGTGCCGTACTGACAGAATAAATTTCATTAAATGGAAAAGGGAGAGCCGGGTTCGGCCTGAAATCTAAAGCTCTCTTGAGGCATTTGCTACAGTAATGAGAAGTGGTATTTTATCAAGGCCAGGTTACTAAATTTGAGTTGGAAATATTAAAACCCGCCGTGGCACCTCCAAGAAGGTTAAGGTAAACTTAGAGGGATTGATATCTTTCGTATGCCCAGCGCGCAGACGAGATTTTATAATTTCATAGTTTTAAACGGCCTAAATACCTTAACTCGCTTAAAAAATAACGAGCTATAACGAAATGGGCACAGAAATAAAATCTAACATCATTAAATTATTTTTCATATTTGTATAAAAGCGCGGGGTGAAACCCGCGGGTATAAGCGAGTGTTATTATCAGGGAACGGATTTTTAGGACCTAAAAACCTATAAAAAAGGCAAAATAAAATAACGAAATAGGCTGGAAAAGGTAAAATAAAATAGCGAAAAAGGCAGGAAAAGGCACTAGGTATTGCAAAAAAGGCAAAACAAAATAGCGTAAAAGGCAGGAAAAGGCAGTAGGTATTGCAAAAAAGCAAAATAAGGCACTAAAAAAGACGATTTTCGCGAAGAAAAGCCTTGAATGTACTAAATGTGCGTTCGACGGAAGTTGATACAAGTGGAGCCCAATTTAAAACGTTTGAAACGTTCATATTATCAATAATAAGGGCGTTTTCCTCGCCCTTTACAATTTTATCCACTCCCCTTATTGTCACCAAGCCTACATTAGCTGAGAAAACGGCTTTGAATTTTTCCAACACCAATTTGGCAAGAGGTCCCTGCGCTTCTATAAGCCGCATGGGCATGTGTATATTTTTTAATCTTAAAAAAAAAAATTGTAAATGCTATAATCACTTTTTTAAAGGTAGAAAAGGCAAAAAAAGGCAAATATCTTAAAAAAGGCAAAAAAAGGCAAATATCTTAAAAACGGCAAAAAGGCAACATCAAATGTGTATATATGGAGTCAGGGAAAGCTAAATCGTGGACATTCTTAATCGAATATACTCTATCTCTTTAGCAGAAAAAAAGGCAATTTCCATAAAATCTGTTCCCTGGTTATTATACATTTATTAGATTTCAGCGAATGGTTGTCTGTACGGGCACATGCTGTCAGCACCGTTATAACAATACCCGTAGGTGGTGGCCAACAAGAAGAGAGGCGTAAAGCACATCGTGTTGGTTTCCATCAGGAAAATCGTGAAGCGGAAAATGAACGGCGTCAGCGAGATTCGCGCAGGTGCTCGGCGTGTACTGAAAATCATTTTATCGCAAACTGCAAGGTAATGTCATACAATGACAAATGGAATATGGTTAACCGCATGCAGCTATGCCGGTCGTGCCTTAAGCCACACGATCCCAAGTTTTGTAACGAACGTCGAGAATGCGGCAAAAACAATTGTGTAGCAAAACATCATACTCTGTTGCACAAGCCGATGTCAAGCAACGATAGCGCTTCACAAAACATAGTGGGGATACATGTACAAAAATCTTCGAATGTTTTGTATCGTATTTTGCCTATTAAAATTCACTCGCGGAATGCTACTGCAGACATTTATGCACTTTTGGATGATGGATCAGGCCCTACAATCATAGAACATGATATATTCAAGAAGTTGCAACTAAAAGGTGAAGAATCCGAGCTTCGGTTGCTTTGGACTGATGGTTCTGTTCGTGTTGAGGAAAACTCCGCGCTAGTCAATTTGCAAGTGTCAGATCAAGCAAAAAATAAAATGTATACGTTGCGCGACGTACGCACAATCGACAAGCTTGACTTGCCTCCGCAAACTTTGGTAATACCAGAACTCTCGCAAAAATATAAACATCTCAGATGGCTGCCAGTACAGTCATACAAAGATGTGTTACCTCAAATGATAATTGGGAGGGCAAGATCGATGAGCCAGCCGCAACGAAAACTCGTCTGGGATGGACAATCTACGGTGTTTTAAAATATAACGAACAAAACCTACGCGATGATTTGCAGTTACACATATGTGAATGCGACGATGACTTAGCTATCCAGAAGCTTCTAATTGAAAGCATGAAACATGAAAGCGCAGATATACAAACCCAACCATGCGATTTAAAATATGAGCATGATAAAAATCGACTTGCCAAATACGTCGAACGCACCGGCGACCATTTTACGACTAAGCTACTCTAACGTTCAAGTAATATATCACTGCCAGCCAATTACGAGGTGGCAAAGCGTCGACTTGAGTGCTTTGAGAAGAAGCTCAACCAGGATTCTGGCTTTAAAGAGAATGTAATCGCGCACATACATGGCATGAAGGAAAGGCAGTACATTCGCAAGCTGAATGAATGTGAAGTCCATATGGATTATAAGCGTAAATGGTATTTACCTATATTTTCGGCTAGAAACCCCAACAAGCCAAAAAAGACAAGATTGGCATGGGATGCTGCTGCGGTCTACAAAGGATTTTCTCTAAACGGATGCCTGGAGAAAGGACCTGATTTATTAAGACCGCTCACGAATATCATTTACAATTTTCGCATCGTTAAGATCGGCATCTGTGCGGATATCTATGAAATGTTTCACAGAGTCAGTGTAAACGAGGAGGATCACCATGCGCAAAGATTCCTTTGGCGTGATTGCGATGACTCTGGAGCGCCAGATGCCGATGCGTACCACCACGATATCATTAATCTGCAAAAAGACCCTCGATGCATATTGCCGAATTCTAGTTCGCTAAGAAAGCTATCACCATTTCTCGAAGATGACGAAATAGTTCGTTTGCGCAGCCGCTTGGAAAGGGCTCCCATAGAAGATGCGGCAAAAAAACCAGTCATTTTGCCAAAAACTCACAAGATCACACAGCTTATAATTGATTGGTACCACCGAAAATACCAGCATGTCCACCATGACATGGTGCTCAATGAAATATTTCAGCGATTTTACATCCCGAGCTTACGTCGAACTCTGCGATCTGTACGCCTAAACTGTATGTCCTGCAAGTTGCGCAACGCAAACCCGCATCCGACTGAAATGGGACCACTACCTGTAGGACGCTTGGCGCCATATACGAGACCATTTACTTACTTGGGTATTGATTTCTTCGGCCCGGTCTTCGTGACAATTGGAAGGCGCACAGAAAAAAGATACGGCGTGTTATTTACCTGTATGACCTGCCACGCCATCCACATCGAAGTGGCACACTCACTCAGCATGAACTCCTGTGTAATGGTGATACGAAATTTCATTTCCAGAAGAGGTCAACCCATAGAAATATTCAGCGACAATGGTACTAACCTGGTTGCAGCTGAGAAGGAGTTACGTAAAGCCTACGCAGAATTGAATTTCGATGCTCTACAGGCGAAACTAACAACCGCGGAATGCAAATGGACTTTTATTCCACCAGAAAGTCCTCATATGGGCGGCGCCTGGGAGCGATTGATACGCTCCGTAAAGAACGTAATGTACCACATCGTTACACCGGACACCAAGCTAACAGACGAGAAACTACATAATCTGCTTTTAGAAGTGGAAAGTATTGTCAACGGTCGTCCGCTTACTTACTTATCGTTGGACGCAGCCGACCAAGAAGCTTTAACGCCCAATCATTTTTTGCTGGGTAGCTCCTCTGGCAGCAAACCACCAAGCAAATTCTGCTCAACAGACAAATATGTTAAAGGTTCCTGGCGCCACTCACAGTACCTAGCTGACATGTTTTGGAAACGATGGGTAGCCGAAGTGCTTCCAACTCTAACCAGAAGGTCAAAATGGTTCGACCATACACAACCAATCGAAAAGGATGACGTGGTAATCATCATAGACCCTAATCTTCCTCGACACGCTTGGCCAAAGGGTATTGTAACCAACGTTTATACCTCCAAAGAGGGCCAAGTAAGAAGCGCTACAGTTCGCACATCGGCCGGCGAGTACCCCGTCCAGCTGCAAAGATAGCACTGCTAGACATCAGACGAAATAGCACCGACACTGTTGCCTAGATGAGGGTATTTTCTCCCATGGGTCGCAATACCGGGGGGGGAGAATGTGGCAACATCGTCTCGAAGGAAGGTGGCTACACAAATGTAGTGAAGTTTCACTCTACGGAATAACAAATTAATTTTTACCGGTAAGATAAGAAAACCAAAGCACTTTAAAGTGAGGAACAATTTATCTGCCCTGTTATTAAAGGCAAATTTACTGCTTACATTAGAAAATGCATCGGGTGAGCAACAACTTATCGATTCGAGAAATTAATGCGCTGATGAGAAAACGAAAACTCGTATATCGAGACGATAAAGTGGCCGGTAATATAAAGGTTAGATGAGAAAACAGCCCTTAGAGCGGTTTTCTAATGTAAGCAATAAAGTTGCCTTTACTAACAGGGCAGATAAATTGTTCGTCACTTTAAAGTGTTTTCGTTTTCTTATCTTACCGGTAAACATAAATTTGTTATTCCGTAGAGTGAAACTTCACTACATTTCCGACTGTGAAACTTCACTACATTCGTCATAAAACTTCAAAGGTTAGTAATGCAACATAAGCAAATATGGAGCAAGAGCAACTGTTAGCAAAAACCAAGCCCTTGGTTGAAATATCTAATATATCTGACTCATGTACCAAAACCTAACCAAAATTAAAAGTTGGGTACAAATTTTTAGAGGTTGCATCGGGTGACCAATAATTTATCGATTCAAGAAATTAATGCGCTGGTGAGAAAACTAAAACTCCAATATCGAGACGATAAAGTGGCCGGTAATCCAAAGGTTAGATGAGAAAACGGCCCTTAATTTGTTAAATGGCCCATCAAGTCGATTGACCGTGTATGTTCTTGTGGTGTGATTGTACCAGCTGCTGGTGTCGTGAGTGGTGAAATTAGCTCAATTTTCTAAGTAAAAAGTATTTTGGCGGAAATTTCTTGCGCTATATGAGTCAAAGCCGTGTTTGTGGAAGATAAAGCTCACGATATTGCAGTTGTGAATTAAAAAAAAAACAATGTTTAACAAAATGGTAGAAAAATTATGAAATTTCGGCTCTAATCATTTCGATCTTTCCTCGACCTCATTTTTAAAGAAATAAATACTGTACCAGCATGCTGGTGAGTTATATGCTTCGGGCCTGATAGTACAATCACTTGATGGAGCCAGCAACCTGGTGTCATATATTTCCCCTTTTATACAAAAAAATATTTGCTTTTTTTCCAGAGTTCATTGTTTTTCTATACCATTACTTATTGAAAATGTTTGCGTGTATACTTACATATGTATATTTAAGTAAAAAATTTTAGCTAAAATTTTTAGCCACAACGCCTTTTTTTAGCTCTTTTTTAGCCCTTTTTTTAAGGAATTTGGCTACCACTAAAAATGATTCGCGGCAACACTGATTAGGAGCTGGCAATGACTTTTTCGCCTTCACTCCGATTCATTGATAGTAATTTTTTCGTATTCATACAAATCATTCGAATTCGTAGATTTTATACAATAGATTCAGTGATAGCTCTGAGTAAGTCTAGCACGAAGTAGTATTCCAGCAACGATCTTTAGCTGATAATCTCACTCCTGACTTACGAAGATCAGTTGCCTCTAAACGGCGAAGAATTTTATTGTTTATAGGCTCAGAAATATATATGTCAGCGTTATCCATACTTATTCTCAAAATTCTTTCGAATTTTGTATCAGAACGGAGTCCTTGGATTGTTTGAAATAAAAGTCTGTTCGCTAGTGCTGCAAAGCCATCGATAGTCACACCATCGATGGTTTTCGATAATTTTATAGACAACCATCAATAATATGGATGGTTTATTAGGGTGGCCTGTTAAATAGAAAAGGGGTACAGAAATATTATTTTATTTACACATATTATATTGAACGGATTTAAAAGCTAAAAAAATAAAACTTATCATTTATTTTTAAACTAACTGCGGTTTATGCCTATTGAAAAAGGGAGATTACAACTTGGAGGGGCTCATGTTAAGTAAAAAAAGTAAACAAGCAAAAAATAAGAAATAAACAATGTCGATCACCTCATATGAAAATTCTTGCAACTTACCTGAGGGTCAATTCCCGTTCTGCGTTATCGTGAAGTGAATTCACTATATAGTACAAAATTATCCTACAAATAAATGCGGTGTAAAAGTATTATTTTTATCACTTCGCAATAACGCAGAACGAGAGTCGACCCACTGACCTCTTACCTGCAGTTAAGCCTTTGATGGCAATAGGCTATGAGTGAGCATTATAAAATTTAAACTAAAAAAAGTTCAAGTAAGAAAGTTAAAAACAAAAGAATGTATTCATTAATTTTTCTTCAACTTATAAAATAGTTTCGCGGAAACAATTTGCTTTTCGCGGGTTAACGTGAATAAAAAAGAACTTTATATTTATGACTGCAAAGTAAAATACCATCGATGGTTTCAAAAAACCTAAAACATTGGCCCCATCGATGGTTTTGCAGCACTACTGTCCGCCTGTTAATCTAGTTATCTGACGAGTCCGAGCAAACTGTTGGCAGGGAGAAAGATTTGGTTTCACGTGGTATTTTTAATTGGCGTCTGAAGAAGAAGGATATTTAAATCTAAATATCATATGTTCAGTGGCATAAATGCATTATATTCACAATGTGAAAAATATATTTCACTTGAGGGAATTACATTAAAACAAGTAATTTTTAGCAAAAAAAAAACCGACTTCAACTCCCATATAAAAAATATATATATATATATATATATATCTCATGATCCACTGATCGGATCTCAACCAGATTAGTATGGGACCACCTCTGAGACACTACCTACTACTAGAATTATCGAAATCGGTCGGCGTGGTCCAATGTTATGCGGTAACATACATAAAAAAAAAAAAAAATATTCCGACGAACTGATAACCTCCTCCTTTTTTGGAAGTCGGTTAAAAATTAAAAATATTTGAAACCATTATGTATTCATTATGTATTAGCGTGGGTCGAAAATCCGCTTTTTCAGAATTTTGATTGGTAATAGCAAAAATATGGTTCATTATGCTCTAAAAACAATTTTTGGTCAATATCTTAGGCTCGCCCAAGTCCATCAAAGTTCAATATGCTCAAGAAATAAAAATTAATAAATACATTAATTAGTAATTTTTGTACTAAAATTGCAGGTATTTTCGAAAGTATTAGTCCTACATAATTTGGTATATGGACCTTTTTTGTAGGGAATCGAAGCTAGCTAAGAACAGTTTTTTTAGCACTTGAACTTTGATGGACTTGGGCAAGCCTAAGATATTGACCAAAAATTGTCATGTTTCACACAAATTAGTTTTAAAGCATAATGAACCATATTTTTGCTATTACCAATCAAAATTCTAAAAAAACGGATTTTCGGCCCACGCTATTATGTATCTTTTTCGAGTATTTACTTACCTACATATGTATGTAAATTACCAAACCAAAGAGGAAAATGATATGCAATATTGGCGCATCCATACAAGGTGCCCTGCAAGAACAGTGACTATCATTTGACAAATCATTTGAGTGGCAAGACTGATAGAGATTTCTGTCACTGGCTACCTACAAGTTTCTATCAAATTCTAAAGAGCAGTGTGAAAAATCTGATGTAAACATTTGTGTACGTGTGATCTTCCGTCTTCCTCCGACTTATGGCATTATTTAGTTGTCTCTTTTTAACCAACGCAAAATTTGTAAATGTGTTAGTAAGGTAAATGAGAATGTGTTAGTTTCCATCACACAATTCTTGTAGGGTGGTGTTACTTGAACAGCTGATATGATATTTTTGTCTCTACACTAGTACAGCAGAATGTCATCCAAGACAAAATGGTGTAACTTCAGGATGTCAGCAAAACGAAATGGTGAAAATTTTATTATTTTCTTTCGTATTGACATCCTGATGCGTCAAAAAGCAATAACCTACCTACCACCTTATATGGATGCGTCTTGGGTTTGCGTTGAATTTTATTTGAAATTTTGTTTTAAATTTTTATTTATGTAATATTGTATTAGTATTACAGCTTAAGAAAAAACACATAATCATTACTTAATTTTTGGATAAACATATGTATGTATGTATGTAAGTATTAAATTGGAAATAATGTACTTTTCCTTAATTTCTTTTTCTCATTTTATTTAATCTAAGTTTTGTTAACCTAAAACCGTTTTTATGACAATAATCTAACTTTTGTTAACCTAAAACTGTGTTTATGACAATATTGGAAACTGAAAACAACTTTTAACAAGTAAAAAATCTGATAGTGGGTATGACTGGAAGCATTTTTGGTTCTATAAAGAAGACAAAGTCGCAGCCTGAATTAAAGGAGCTTAGTCAACGTGTTAAAAACATAAGGAAGACGTCGAATGACGAACTTTTGCTGGAGCTCAAAAAACAAGCAGATCCTGCTACTCAAAAACTTAAAACTGCGGTAGAAACAATACTGGGCGAAAAGGATCAGGTTCGTTCCCTTACGCAAGACACCCTCCTGGAGCTAAAAGATATTGATGAGGTTACATCGAGGGATGAAGTACTTGAGGCGATAAGAGTTACCCTTGAAGGCGAACCAATCGTGCCATCAGCGATTCGATCCATGCGCGCAGCCTATGGCGGAACTCAAACATGCACAGTCAGTCTGCCATTAACAATCGCGCAGAAGCTCTTGGACAAATCGAAAATTCGTATCGGGTGGGTTATATGCCGTATAAGGGAAAAGGTGATCCTCTCTAGATGCTTCAAATGCCATGATTTCGGACACGTGGCACGTAACTGCCGAAGTGAACAGGACCGTTCTAGTCTCTGCTTCAGATGCGGCAAACCAGACCATAAGGCGAGCGCATGTTCGCACCCACCATCATGCGCACTGTGCCACAAAAAGGGAGGAGCAAATGCCAGTCACGCGACTGGGAGCCGAATGTGTCCAGCATTCCAGCAGGTGAAATCATCGATGGAAAAAAGACAAACACTATGACGGTGCTACAGCTCAACCTAAATCACTGCGAAGCGGCCCAAGACCTTCTTGGCCAGACGGTGTATAAGTTAGGCATAGACGTAGCTATACTAAGCGAACAATATAAAAACAGGGATGAAGTTTCGTGGGTCAGTAATTCAACTGGTAGTGAACGACGCTAGACTAAGAAGCGCAGCACTCATCGCAGGAGACTTTAATGCGTGGGCAGTTGAATGGGGTTGTAAAAGAACAAACCCGAAAGGTAGAGAACTCACTCAACCTGGTGTTGCTCAATAACGGCAGCGAGAATACCTTTTTCAGAAACGGGACTGGTTCCATCATAGACCTCTCATTCATAAGCAGAGGTTTGAGCAGAGATGCTAAATGGCTAATCAGCGACTGCTACACCACAGCGATCACCGCGCAATCGTAATTAATATCGACAAAATAAGCGCAAGCACGGCGTTCCCCAATAGAAACATAGGTTGGAAAGCCAAACACTTCGACGAAAAGCTTTTCGAAGTAGCTTTCAACGAGGCAGAAACATCACTATCAGTGGAACCGTCAGCGTCGGAGCTTATGAGGGCGATTACAACGGCATGCGATATCACTATGATGCGGCTAGCCGCCGCAAAAGACACAACCCTATGTACTGGTGGAACGACCACATCGCGCTACTGCGATTGCAGTGCAACAGAGCTAGACGCATATGCCAGCGTTCGCGTTACGCAACAAATGCCCTACAGCTGAGACAGGCATACAAGGATAGTAGAAAGCTCCTCAGGGATGTGATTCGGGACAGTAAGCGAAAAATGTTTTATGTGTTGGAGTCAATAGTAACCCGTGGGGATTTGCCTATAAGCTAGTAATGAAAAAGTTAAAGAAAACTACGCACCCAACATTCCCAATACTCATGGAGCAAATTGTGAAGGAACTCTTTCCTCAGCAGTCCAAATTCGTCAGGAACTTAGTAAGCGAGTCTGACACCAGCATCCCGGTTGTATCTATCGAAGAAGTGCTCAACGCAGAGAGCAAACTCATGGTTAATAAAGCGCCAGGACCAGACGGTGTCCCAAACATCGCCCTTAAGGAGGCGATCAGTACCAGGCCGGAGGTATTTGCAAGGGTGTTTAATACGTACCTGCAAAAGGGGGTATTTCCAAATGTATGGAATCTCCAAAAATTGGTACTGCTACCAAAAACCGCAAACCCTTCATCTCCAAATAGTTTTCGCCCCTTGTGCATGCTAGACTCTACTGGAAAGGTCTTCGAGCACATAATCAAAAGCCGTCTGGAATTATTTACGGACGAGCAGCTGTCAAAAAACCAACATTGATTTAGAAAGAAGCACGCGACAATAGATGCGATTGAGACTGTTAAAACAATCGCCCAAAAGGCAATAGACGGAAAGCGCTGGCTAGGAGGCGCCAAAAAGTACTGTCTGGTTGTAACCTTAGATGTCAAGAATGCGTTTAATTCCGCGAGCTGGAAAGAAATACTAAACGCGCTTGACAGCCTAAATGTACCAAGGTACCTGCAAAAAATCATCTCCAGCTATCTGAGTGATAGAGTGTTGCGCTACCACAGCGACAGTGGTTTCGTGGAATATGAAGTAACGGCGGGCGTACCTCAGGGATCAGTGTTAGGCCCCATTTTGTGGAACATTATGTATGATGGCATCCAGCGACTTGCTGTTCCTAAAGGTGTCACATTCATAGGCTTCGCGGACGACGTGTGCATCGTCGTTACAGCTAAGACGCTGGACAAAATAGTAGCCATCGCAGAGAGAGTTATAAAAGTAGCTGAGGAGTGGTTAAGAGAAAAATCGCTAACACTGGCAGCCCACAAGACGGAAGCCGTTCTTATCAGTAGCCGAAAGAAGGTGGAAAAAGTGAGAATCAGATTAGGAGACACCATTATAGAGTCCAAGCCGTATGTAAAATATCTAGGGGTCTTGATTGACCACCGCCTTTGTTTCCGGGACCACCTGGCATCAGCAAACAAGAAAGCAGCGATGGGAACAGCAGCCTTGTCCAGATTAATGGCGAACATAGGGGGGGCACGCCAGCAGGCTAGACAAGTCTTGGCAGGGGTTGTGAGGTCAATACTCCTTTACGGATCGACAGTCTGGCGTGACGCTTTCAAACGGGCATCCTACATACGAGGTATCAATGCTACATACCGCTTAAATGCTCTTAGGGTATGTTCAGCTTATCGAACTGTCTCCGAGGATGCAGCACTCATTATCGCAGGATTATATCCACTGGATCTCGTGGCCCAGGAGATGTCCCAAATAAGAAT